AGAGAGAGAGAGAGAGAGAGAGAGAGAGAGAGAGAGAGACTATACTCTCTCACTTAATATACACCACTACTACAATCTCTACAATAGATAACTAACTAAAAACAAGAGCAAAACAAATTGCACCAAAACTTTCTCATTAACTAAATAAAGCAAATTCTAGACCAGAATCGTTGGTCTATATTCCGGTTCAACGCATAAATATTATGCACTAATAATAAATTCATTACAATAAACGACTAATTTTATGAATCAATTATTGATAATCACTTTACAAATATTGAGAGAAGAAAGTAAGCACTTCTTGTGTCTCGGAAGACATTATATTTTAAATGCCATTATATTTATTAAAAGTGTGGCGAAAACACACATAAAACATAAACAGAAATCCCATTTTGTGTACATAAATATGAGTGTATTTTAGCACTTATTACTTGAAAGAGAGAGAGAGAGAGAGAGAGAGAGAGAGAGAGAAGTAAATATGAGACATATTCTGTGTGCCTTTTTTGCAATATAAGGCCTAATGTTGTGTTTAATAATAATGGTTGCAATGCATTAGATATTAGGTTTCCAATACACTATCGGCTAATGTAAAAACACCTTTCAGTCGCTCCCCATCTTCTCCTTGTTATACGTCATGTGTATGTCATAAACAAATGCCAAAAATTACTACTGTATTGACCATTGAATTTGTGGTACATTTAAAAATAAATTCACTATATATTTATTAAACTATATTTTATGTTTGTCTATATCTTGTCTGTGAATTTCATGTTCAATATTGCACTTAAAATATGCTCTAAGAAATGGCAAACATATTAAGACACAAACAGACTTTCTTTGGACAGTAGTGTTTGTTTAGTTTTTTATTTTATATGTATTTCTTCGTGCGATTGAGTATTACTTTTAAAAGAATGTGAAATTTCATGTTTGCTTACAATTGATTTTTAAGGATATATTTTGTATTATTGCTATCTATATACCAGTTCTGTATATTGTATAAGTAGTATACAATGTAATATATCTACTTTATACCAGTGCTAACATTTAGCCTGTCATGCATTTCTTCCTATGAATGAATGAAAAAGTGTTTCAAATAGTTTTAGTTTTAAAACTATTTGCTTCAAACACAATATATTTTCTTGTTTACTCTAAAAAAATATATAATTAATTTAATGTGTTTTCTATATTACGACAAAACAATTCGAGTTATAAAAGTCTTTACACTTTTTTCTCTCACTTTCTCTTCACAGTTAGAAACAACTGAAAGTGTAATCCGTTGTAAAGTCAGGCCTAAAACCGGAGCTCTTTATTGAATCTCTCGATTGTGTTTCCAAAGACTTCATTTGGCGGTGAATGCGAAGGACTACTACTTATAAGAAGTTATTTTGCTGTATGTGTTATACATGTTGTGTCGTGTCGTGTATTAACACACAAATACCAATTTGGTCTCAAATCTTAATCCCAAACAATCAATTAGGAGAGCGTATAGGAGGTCAACGTGAGTGAAAAGAGGATCCGCTGTACAGTACTGTACGGCCAATAAAAGTATTGCCAAAAAGTGTATCAAACAAAACGTATTCTTCGTATAAACGCTTAGAAGAAGAAGAGGTTAGGAATCGATGGATGAGCCGATAGTCTCTGATTTGGACATATATTTAAATAAGACTAATAACTCGTTTCAAGACTACGAATATGAGATCGAGGAGTCGTTTTCCAATTTTAATTTATGGGATCTCATCCCCACTGCCATTGTCTATGGTTTGCAATTAAATTACTTTTTCTAAATTTATTTTCTCTCTAAATAAATATACCTTTTCTAAAATGTTATCGTTTTTTCCTTTCCAATTGAAAAGGTTTGACACTATTTGCCGGACTTATTGGTAATTTATATAATATTACAAAACTTTGCAGATAATTGATTTGTATTGGTGTCAACTAAACTGATGGTCTGTTTATTTTAGGAAATGGTCTTATAGTGTATACAGTCGTACACTTTAGGCGTATGAGAACGCTATCCAATGTATTCTTAGCGAGTCTAGCGTTTGCTGATCTACTATTGATATGTATCTGCGTTCCCGTCAAGGTTTGCATACAATTTATATATATTTCATTATTATTTTATTTTAATATTATTTTTTTAATGAAGAGATTTGCAAATTTATAGTTAATGATACGTCAATATATCATTTGATATAATCTTACGATTGCTTCGTTTTAAAGGATTTATTTAAAGCAAGAAATAAAATTAATTATCAAATATAAGTGACGGAAAGCTTTTTAATTCAATTTACATATTTGCATTAATATCTAGACATGACTTCACTTTTTAAAAATTATTATTTTCCCACTTATGCTATGAATTACGAAATAAAGTTTTAGTTTTTTATGCGGCAAATATCAGAATATCCTTAAGACTAGTCTTATCTCAATATTTGACTCTAAAATTGTCATCACTTGAAATTATACTTCTCTTTTCATCACAATATTTCATCTCAATATTTATCTTTACTTTTAAAAAATCCATACAATATATAAATATAGTAAATATTTTATTAAATGAGAGCACTATTCTCAGTGCACTTAACAATACTCTTATGTCTTATACGATGAAAATGATGTGAAAATGAAGCCAACACTTGAATTCTAGCGAAACCTCATTTTCACACAAAGAAATTCATCGAATTTCTCACCAAATATTACATTAGAGGATAATTACTGATAAAATGATCTAAACATTGATGAGAAAAGTTTTATACTGTATATACTTTTGTCGCTAAAGAATACATTTCTCGAATCTAATAACGAAATTTTGTTTTTCGCGTTTCTTTAGCTAAGAGCCAAAACACTAATCAAATAATTTTTAAAATCCAACAAAAATATAACAAATAATTTCGGCAAATTTCAAGTTATTTGCTAATAAAAGTTTATCTATAATTATATTTTTACAGAGAGAGAGAGAGAGAGAGAGAGAGAGAGAGAGAGAGCCTAAACTATTATTGTCCAGAATTTCATATCAAATATTGAATTGAAATACTATAACAGTTTTGAGCGTCAAAAAAGTAGAGAAATCTTAAATATATAAAGAAAACTTTGTTGAGATTTATAAATTTAAAGCATAACAGATGTTATACATTATTATTGAATTAGATCTCTTAGAATATCCTATACTCCGAGCCATTCATTCAATTAAATGATAGTTTTAAGAATTGCTTATATTTTAATAACCATAGGATTCTAATAGAAACGTAAAAACTATTTGTTAATATCACTGAATTTAAGTTATTGTTTTCCTAAAGTATATAATAAAATTTTAAATAAGCTTATCTTAAGTGTGTTTTTAGTAGCTCTTGAATAAAACACATAATATTTCCTGATAGATAAAGTAAATGGAAATTATAATTTTTATCATTTCTCTTACATTAATTCACATTTAGTTACTTTCGATAAGTTTCAAATAATTCCTACATTATATATAGAATAATATACATAAAATAATCCTATTGTTATTATATAGTGTATTATCTCGTATTGTTTTATCTAGTATATTTTTGTTGTTTGCTTCAAATGAAACCTTATATTTTAGAAAAATAATAAAAAATATATCAAAATATAAATATTTCACACTTAATATCCTTTAAACACAAACGATATTTATACACAATGTATTTTCAACATAAAGTCTACTATATTTTTATATACAGTATACCAATTAATTTTAAAAAGTTTTAAATTTATAGCCTCAATCCATATATAAAACCCTGAATAAATTGCCCATAATATCTGAAAATACCACAAATATATACAAACAAACTACAAATGATTGAGAAATATTTATTTAGTAAAAATTGTTATCAATCTTCAAAGTCAATTAAATTCATATACAAATTGGAAAAAACTGTTGCGTTAATAACAAACATAATTTTTGCCCTTCAATTGAATAGTTCGCCCAATTATTCTCGTATTCGTGGGAATTGGGAGAATTTGGATGCAAACTCGTTCATTACATGCAAAATGTGTCCTCTATTTGCTCGGTCTTTACGCTCACAATCATGTCTATTGAACGGTAAGACTTTGAATTCAATTAGGCTTTGAATATATAATTATTCATTATATTCTGTATATTATTCTGTATAATATTCTGTATACCTATGCATATATCGTTACGTTAATACATACGCCATACATATTAATTTCAATTACCAAATAAGTTGTGTGTTATTTACAAATATCAATATTTGCTAAAATAATTATTATATTTCATACAATTTTTGGCTGTAATTTTGAGTTTCAAA